TTAACCCACTGACTCGCTGACATGTGGGCCCAGCCCTGCTGACATTTTAGTTAGTGTTAGCTTAGCGCTAATTAACTCAGTTAATTAACTGAGTCACTGACCAGCGGGCCCCACTGGCCAGGTTTGACCTGGACCGCCCTGTTGACTGCTGACGTCACAGTGACGCAATAAGTGTTTTCTGGATTTATTTTTATCCAGGAAATTCCAGAAAATAGCCAAAACTTCTAAAAATCATAGAAAATCAACCGTAGCTCCAAATCAAACAATTTATATATGAAAATGATCAGAAAAATCCAAAGAATCTGCTTATGGCATTTGCATGCATGTCAGAGCAACTTATGTCCTCTGCTTAGGACAATTCAATTAAATGGCATTTAAGAAAGCACATATAGAGTTTGAATTTGAACCTTTGGTTCAAACCAACTTCATTTAATATGTTGCTAGTTGCATTAGTTCAATCAATAGCATATTGCCATGTCATGAGCATGCATCATATTGTTGCATTGCATTGATTGTGTTTCTTCTGTGTTTGCCGGTGGTTGTTCCCCCTCGGTAGATGATGTTTTCGATGAAGAGGTCGATGACACCAATGAAGAACTATACTATCTTCAGAAGTGCCAGGCAAGCAAACCCCCTTGTTCATTCCGATACAAACCCACTTGCTCGCTCCTGCTCTCTTTTACTACATTAGGACAACAACGATTCAACTGTTACATGCTGTGGTAGTTGAACCCCTTTCCTCTGCATGACATGTCATTGCCACAGTAAATAGATGAAACCCACTAGCATGAGTAGGAGTTGTTTGAGCCATGATGTGCCTACTCATTCATGCTTGTTTGTCATGCCTGCTATTGCTTAGAGTTGTGTCAGGTCTGATTCATCGGGGATGAATTGGAAAATGGTGAACATGTCCTACTGTGTGTGAGCTAAGTGTGTTGAACACGATTTGGTAAAGGTATCAATGAGAGGCCATGTAGGAGTATATGGTGGGTTGTTTCATTTGGAATCGTCCTTAAGCACCGAGATCTGTATGTGTGATTTAAGAACCAGTTACTACCATGCATTGGGATCCTTAATTGACCCTCTCAGCTTCTTAACCACCCTAGTCCTCAGTCCAGGAGTTGCAACTAGTTTCTGGTGTTTGTAGGATATGTGTTGGCGGCCATGCGTAGCGCTGACCCCAGGGGTGGGCTATGATGCGGTAGATACACCGTGGCCGGGCATGTCGGGCGCCCGTTTGGTGTCTCGGAACCCTGTACACATCGTTCGGGGCCGTATGTGGAATCCTCGGCCGGACTCCCTGCGGATGGAACCCGGATAGGCGATAAACCTGGACTAGAGACTTGAGTGTTTAGGTAGGCCGTGGCCGACACCCTCGTTGGGCTTCCGCTTGAAGGTTGCCGAGTACATGTCGTGTAAACGACGGTAGGTGGTGAGAGCGTGTATGAAGAAGTACACGCCTGCAGGGTTAACATCATCTATTCGAATAGCCGCGTCCGCGGTAAAGGACTACTTGGTTGCCTATACAGTTCATAGACAAGTGAAAGTGGATACTCTAAAATGCGAAAGATAAGTTTGAGTGCTATGGATGGCGTTCTCGTAGGGAGACGGGAGCGGATCCTTAGCGGTGTATTGATATGGTGAATATGTGGACTCGTGTGCGCCACCTCAAAAGTGTTACTTGCAGTCGTAGTTCAGGTTAGCCACTGAGTCAAAGCTGGCTTGCTGCAGTTAAACTCCACCACCCCCTTTATTGATACCGATGCATATGTAGATAGTTCTGATGTAAGTCCTGCTGGGTACATTTGTACTCACGTTTGTCTATTTCATGTTTTGCAGAGAGACGCCAGTCTCGCTAGTAGTTCCATGTGGACTTCGACGTTTAGCTTGTTACCTCAGCTACGATCTTGTGCCCTCGGCAGGATCTGGTAGATAGTCAGGCTTCTCAGCCTTTTTCATTTGTAGATATCTGTACTCAGACATGTTAAGCTTCCGCATGTGCTTTGTCTGGTATGCTCTGAATGTTGGGTCATGAGACCCATGTTTGTAATATCTGGCTCTTCGGAGCCTAATGAATAAATACTTTGAGTCATAGAGTTTTGTTGTGATGTCATGTTGTATTTGCACATATCGAGCATATTGTGTGTATGTTATTGAAATGCTTGGTATGTGTGGGATCCGACAATCTATTTGTTTATCCTTGGTAGCCTCTCTTATGGGGAAATATAGTCTGGTGTTTCCACTGAGCCTTGGTAGTCTGCTACAGCCCGGTTTACCGGAGTCCTGCTAGTCCAGTACTACTGCTCCGGAACACTTAGACTGGCCGGCATGTGATTCACTTCGTTCCTGTGTCTGTCCCTTCGGGGAAATGTCACGCGGTGATTTCCTGAGTCCTGCTAGCATGCTACAGCCCGGGTTCCCGGAGTCCTGTTAGCCCAGCTGCTACAGCCCGGATTCACACGCTGATGACCGGCATGTTTGATATTGTTTCATGTATGCATGTCCCCGTAAGTTAGTGCCACTTTGGGTTCACGGCTAGTCATGTCGGCCCGGGTTCTCTGTCATATGGATGCTAGCGACACTATCATATACGTGAGCCAAAAGGCGCAAACGGTCCCGGGCCAAATAAGGTGACACCCGTGAAAATATCATGCGTGGGGCCGCAAAGTGATATGAAGTGTTACATGCTAGATCGGTGTGACTTAAGATCAGGGTTCTGACAACAACTTCAATTTATGCAATGCTACTTCATAGCCATGCTTTCCCATAGAAGAGAGAAGAAACTTTAAGTAATTCTATTCCTGGATCATGGCGTGTACTTGCGATTGGTTGAAAGAAGAATCAACACACATACAGCTATGGCCACGTCTACAGAAAAGATTAGCCTGGAAGTAATGGATTTCGATGTCCTTGGATTAACGTTGTTTGTTTCAAATTAGCACTACCGCGAGCACTTGATTATTCGCGGTGTCCGGTCATCCGCCGGGCTGGTCGTCGCCCTCCTTCTTGAGGTCTGACGGCGGCAGGAAGTAGTCGGAGGTGAGGCCTTTCACGTTGAAGTCGGCCTCCTCCACCGTCCACGTCTCCTCCAGCTTCCTCTTGTGGTTGACGGAGCCCTCGCCGTAGCGGAAGAGCGTGACGGCGGTTTTCCCGCCGTGCGCGATGTTGACGCCGTCGATGTGGCGGTAGTTGTTGATGACGGATTCCATGCTGGTCTCCCAAAAGATGTTCTCACTGCGTCGCGCGCCCTTGCCCGACTTCATGCGGAGCAGGTGATTATCCTCGAGCTGGATGAGCAGGCCAGTGCGCTGGCTGAAGTATCCCCACACCGTGTGGTGGATGATGTCGAACGCAGCCGCGCTCCGCGCCCGCAGTGTCGCGGCGCTCGCCTCCAGCTTCAGGATGAAGCATTCCTCGCCGTTGATGACCTTCTCGCCGATGCATACCGCGTCGGAGAAGAGGTTGGCGATCGACCGCGGGTCCAGACCCTGCAGGCCATGCATGCATGCGTCAAGAAGGTCTCGAATTGATCGATGCATCTGGTGGAATACATCGTACAATTGGTAGGATACGTGGGCGTGCCTGGAGGGACCGGCGGAGGGGGCGGGGCGGGCCGCGGGAGGCGTGGGAGTTCTCGGCGGCGGACTGGCGCCAGGCGACCTTGCCGTCGCTGCCGGCGCTCATCTTGTGACCGGCCATGATGAGCTCGAAGTACCAGACCTCGGGGCACTTCTGCCAGAGCACGAAGCCGCCGACCTCGGCGCGTCCCTGGGCGGCGGTGACTGTCTGGTCGCCGAGGTGGAACTCGGACGCGCACATCTTCACCTTCCCGACGGCGTACATGCTCTGCACGCCCTGCAGCGCCGCCTGCCCGCCCGTGGCGGCGATGTACTGATGCATGATGTACTTGGCCGTCGACGCTTGCTTCATTCATGCATCCACACAACCAAACACACGTACGCTACGCGCGTCAGGAATGAATTCAACCGTGTGTGCTGCTGTTGCTGTGGCGTGCACGGAGCATGCATGCATGGCTTACGATGGAGGAGTCCCGGATGGAGCGGCTGAAGGCGCGGTCGTGGGGGACGGGGCAGGGGATGAGCGGCGAGCCGACGACGTTGAGGAAGAGCTGGAGCTCGGCGTTGGCGGCGGCGGCGGCGGGCCCGTCGGCAGTGGCGCGGTCGAACGCCTGGGTCTTGAGCCAGGCGCGCATGTTGGCACCGCCCCCCCGGCGCTTGTCGGCGCCGGGGGCGTTGGCGAGCATCTCATCGGGGATGGGCACCTCCAGCACGGTGTCCAGGGAGTCGTCGCGGTCATGGTTCGGGCACAGCTTCCTCATCACACGACCACCACCGCATCAATAATGCCGACCGGCCGACGGGAGCAGGACGCCCGGCGCGCTGTGCAGGACAGACAGGAGAGTCGGAGGGAGAGAAACAGGGGGAGGAAGGAACGAGAGGAGAGGGAAGGTCGGGGACATGTAGGAGCAGGACGCCATGCATTGGAAGCGAGGAATTAGTGGATCCCGCGGAGCCCGGAGGTCGAGGCGAGGCCGGAGCTGCATGCATGCAGCAGCGTCTCGCCGGAACCCGGGAGCGCCCTGGACCAGACCAGGCCGCGGCCCATTTCACGAAAATGGCCTTACACTTTGGTGACACCACACGGCCCGGCCGGCAGAGCAGACCTTGCGTTCCACTACAAAAAAAAAAGGCAGAGCAGACCCTACCTTAACTTCCACACAGCAGCGGCGGCGGCGGCGGCGGTACGATTAGCTTCCTCGCCGGCGCGATCGACGCCCACTCCGCCACCAGCCTATGACATCTGGTACCCGCCTCTGAGATCCGGTATGCGCCTCTTCCTCACCCCTCTCCTCGAAACTCCGGTGGTGGAATGGTGGTACCCCATCCGCTGAACCGTGCACGCCAAGTGCTCGACGCTTCGTGTGCTTGGTCGGTTGCGATGAACCAGGATCTCACCCACTGAGTATTCTCGCAGGAACGATGGCGGAGACGCAGCCGCGCTCGCCGCCGCCGTCGTGGTCGGCCATCCCGCTGGACCTGGCAAGCCTGGTGCTCCGCCTCCTCCCCGCCTATGCCGACCGCGCCCGCTTCGCCGCCGTGTGCCCGCAGTGGCGCGACGTCGCGCAGCAGTTCCTCCGCCTGCACCCGCCGCTGCCGCTGCTCGCGCTCCCGGACGGCACCTTCTACAGCCTCCCCTACGCCAAGCCCTTCCGCTTCCCGGGATTCGGCTTCGCCGGGTACCAGGGCGTCTGCGGCAGCTGGCTCGTCTTCCCGCGCGACGACGAGTGCTTCCTGCATGACCCGTTCGCCAGGGCAACCGTCAGGCTCCCTCCTCTCTCGCGCGTCCGGCTGCGTCCTCCAAACGCAGTCCAGAAATGGACAAAATGGGAAGACGGGGAGCGCTCCCCCGACCCTTACACCACATGGATGCATATAGAGGACATGGAAGGGAAGCTGCGCATGAGCAAGATAATATTGTGCTCTCCCAACCTTGTTGCTGCTCTGGTCGGTGTTGGAAGGCCCTGTCACCTTCCAATATGCCATCCAGGAGGCCCCAGTCAGATTCTAATGTGCCAGCCGGGGGCCTCGTCGTGGTCAGTACGCGCGTACGACAGGTGTAGGCTTTATGAAGACATGGCGTTCTACCAGGGCAAGCTCTACGCCATTGCCAATGATGAGAACCTCTTTGTGGTGAACATCAGCCAGGACCAATGCACCGGGGATCCACAGGTTTCTCGAGTTGGACAGGTCATCAAGGGTGATCCCTGGCAGACAGTTGCGTCCGAAGGTGACAATGCACCCGGCAAGAAGCTCTACCTGGTTGAATCACGCGGTAAATTGCTGATGGTATGCAGGAAGATTTGGGTTCCTGAACTTGAAGACGGAGATTTTTCTTTCGGGAATGAGTTTGAGGTATTCGAGGCTGACTTTGAGCATTCACGGTGGGTGAAGGTGACAACTGTGGGGGATGACCAGGTGCTGTTTCTTGGGAGAAGGTGCTCCAGGGCTGTCTCTGTGTCTCAGTATGGGTTGCCGGGTGATCGCATCTTTTTCTTGGATGATGACGAAGTGAATCGTGTGAAATACGGCTATGATGAGAACACCTTTTGCAGTGCCTATAACATGAGAGACGGCAAGGTCTCTTCCCCTCACCCAATGATCTCCTGGAAACGTTGTGATGAGATGTGTCTTGCAGCATGGCTCTTCCCTCAGGACTGAATCGCTGAAGTGAAGATGTTATTGCTATTCCAGCTGCTTCCAAGTTGGTATGGTGATCAGTAGTTACCAAGCCAATAAATTGCCTTAGTATGTATCCAGTTTGACCACCTTATTTATCTGAACTTACATGGTGGTTACTATGGTGCAAGTTGTTCACTTAATTGGTTTACCGTTTCCTGGGAAAGATCCTAAAGTGCATGACTGCTTATGTATCAATTGTCTTAGCATGGTGATCTCTGACCTTTTGTAGTGGCTGTAGAGTTGATTGTTCATACTGAAGTTCGATGAACCTACTGCTGCCTTTTGCGACTAATAGTTTGTAGGAACCTCATATGTGTGAGCCTACATGATGGTTGCATTGTGCATATCCCATGTGGATCATGTAGATGAGATAACTATTTTATATTGCTACTAGACGACACCTAACTGAATGTTTGCAATATCCAATATTACCAATTGCTCCCATCGTTAACAAATACTATAAGATGTGCCAACTTATTTTAGAATCCGACGTATAGAGATATGTCTTAGTGTGCTTGTTCACTCATTTCAATCTGTATGTAATCTATACTGAAATATCCAATACATCTTATATTTATGAATGGAGGGAGTAGTTACGTGCATAGTAAGGCCTCCTTTGGTTTGGAGGATTTTTGTAGGAATTTCATAGGATAAGATTTTTGCAGGAAAAATTCCTTTAGAGCCCTTTGGTTTGTAGGAATGGAATCCTATTCCTATGGAGGAATTCTTCCTATCCTCCACATTTCATAGGAAAATAAACATTAGCCTAGACTTAATGGAAAAAATCGTATGAAGTGAATCAAAGGACATCTTCTTTCCTATTCCTACTCATAGGATTTGAGATGCATGTCATCTCATTTCCTATGACTTTTCTATTCCTATGATTTCCCTACCCTATGAATCAAAAAGTTTTTTGTGCAGTTGAGTTTTTTATATGCAATACCCAGTGCTGAATAGGCATTGTGGTGGAAGCTAGGCTTTGGGAACTTCCCTACGGCACAAAATTGCTGGGATTAATCATTTTTTACGGCCATGACGGATTCAGCGTTGTCCTTACTACTAGGTGTGACAACGGCTTCACCAAAGAGTAGACATTGCAAAAGCTGAAGAGCTTGTTAATGTTCACCATTTTTAATATAGCATCCTTTGCCTCCAAGCTAGTTAGACTTACAGAATCTGCGTCTAGCACGAAATAGCTGAGCTTGGACTTTTTCCAAGGTCATGAAGGATTCGATGTTGGATTAATCTGACAATGACCTCGACAATGTTCTGACAATGAAAAGTTGAAGATCATCTAGTTTATGTATATATCCTTATGGTTCAACCGAACCACTGACATAAATAACCTCAATTCCTCAATTCAGTTGTTCCTCTCAACCCCTGCAGTCAACTCTACGGTATGAATGCAAATTTTGACTCGGACATTTTTTACTGATATAAGCAATCCAATGGTATATCCCCATGTGTAAACTTTGTGATGTGTTCATAAATTTTTATTTGGAATAAAATACAGGAATGAACAAAAGTTAGTGAGGCAAGTATCATGTGCAGACCGTTTCTGTTTTGAAAAAAAAAACAGTGCGGACCGTTTCATCTACTTTGGAGCCAATCCTAGGTTCTTGACTAACCATGCAGATAGGTCTCAATCTCATCTATAAAACCCCACATCCGTACTTTTCATTATGATTAATCCACAGCCCAATTCCATTTCTAAGAACAGGCGAGCAGTAAGATGTTGGGTCCGGGATATCATAACCTTCTTCTAGGAGCTCTCCTGTTGCTCTTCTTTACGATGATCTCCTCCGGGGCGGCGCGGGACGACGTCGTGGCCTATAGCTTCGCCACCATCAACAGTACCACGGCCGACGGCTTGACGGTCGTCACCAACCAGTCACAGGTAGTATCAGGTCCAACCCTGTTCGGCATCGACCACCCGACTCTCTCCGCGGTGAACGAGTCCGCCGGGTTCGTGGTCCTCTCGCGGACAGTCGAGCTCTGGCGCGGCGGTGATGGCCGGCAGGGACCTCCCCGCCAGGCATCCTTCAACACAAGCTTCACCATGGACGGGACCTCCCCTCACTGGTGGAAAAAGGGCCTTTGGTCGCGGTTCGCAACTGCCATTAGTCGCGGTTGCGCAACCGCGACAGACCGGGCGCGACTAAAGGCCCCCCCCCTTTAGTCGCGGTTGCTTAAGAACCGCGACTAAAGGCCCGTCCACGTGGGCGCCAGGTGGCCGTCGGGGCGGAGGACCTTTAGTCGCGGTTCTTCTGGCCAACCGCGACTAAAGGCCGCCGCAGGTTTAGGGTTTTAGCCCCCCCCCTTAAACCTGTTTTCTGTTTAATTTGTATTGTTTTATTTTTTTTGTGCTTTATTTTAATTTTGAAGGAGTTTCATATATTCTACGGTACTACATACATGCATATGAATGTACAATTTCAAATAAATTTGAAATTAGAACCAAAAAGAATTCAAGAGGAATATACAATATATATTCAATATCATCGGATGACCATATACAATTTTGAACAAGTTTCCATACATGATTTAATGCATATAAAGTTCTACGTCCTCGTAATAGTGTTCTCCTTTAGGATGGAGGACTTCCCTGCTGAACCATCCAGCTAGTTCCTCTTGAAGTGGTCGGAAGCGAGCTTCTGGACTAAGCATCCACCGGAGGTTATTCCTCTGAGCATTGGTATCACTCGGAACCCGCTCAGAGGTGTATCTCCGGATCATCTCACAGACATAGTATCCACATAGATTGGTCTCCGGTGGCTGAATATCCCCAGCATTCTTAGCCTTTAACATTTTGAATTCTAGCTCTTTTTTGAATTCACCGACCTTTGTATCTACGAACCGTCTCCAAACCCTATGAGGCAAAGAAACTTAAATGAACAAGAGAGTTATTAGTTACTTGATATTAGGAAATGAACGAAATAGGCCGATCGATATAGAGCGCAAATGAATGAAAATAATTACTTCTGCAACATTCTTCTCATGCCGCCCCAAAGCTTTGGATCCATATTCACAGAGTCGTGGACGAGACATTCTGAGGTGTTAACTTTAATTACTAGCAGAATCCAGTGGAACCTGCGGACACGATACATGCACAGTACGTCATGCATAACTCATCGATTAGCCGGCCACATACCATGCATGGAGTAAACAAAAGAGAATATGCTGAAGACAGAAACACTCACTCAAAATGGTAAGGAAATAGAATATCACTTTTGAGTTCCTGCTTTGTGAGAAACTGCCACAGGTCTGCCTCCACGTCGGCGGGGTGACGCTCCAACACATGTCCATTAACGATGTGTGGGTCAATGAACCCAACATCATGGATGTTCCTTACTCTGCATTCCTTAATCTTCATTCTGCATGTATAATAGCGGACACAACAATATAGTTAGGACATATATATAGTGCAGGCAATATGAACGAGATGGGGTAGAAATTAATAAATCACTTACAGAACGTAGCAACTGATGATAGATTTATCGAGCTCGCGCAGATTGAAAAGCTGGAACAATTCACTCAGTTCAATTTGTACATAGTAATGTTTGAAGTGATGCTCATGTCTAACTTCCGCATAAATATATTCTTTGGCGTTTTTATTTTTTATGTAACCCTTGTACCATTTCAGCAGACCTTTCATTTGTGGAGGTAGATCCTTTTCCTGCGCAGGCTCGACGAGAGGCCCATTCTTGACATATGTAATTACTACCTCCTTCACTGGCGCCTCATCAAGGCCTAACAGTTCACGAAGAGTAATACCTAAGTTGGCTGCTTGTTCTCTGGCACTCGTTACAGTCAATCCCTGTGCTGCCGCAGCTTGTATGATCTCGGGGGCATCCGGACAGAAGGCTTCCACTATAAGCGGGGCAATCGATTGTTTACTTTGTCCCTGAGCTGGGCAACTTGTTTCCCGCTTTTTTTACTTTCGGCCTTCTCCCGCTCTTTGTTCTCCTTGAACATGAGTGCCTGCCTGTGAAGTTCACGTGCATAGTCGTTAGGCAGATTCTTCGCGGCTTGGGACGGTGTGCTCAAAAATGACTTAGCCCACTTCTTTTGCTCATCAGAAAATACTGGCTTGGGCTCGGGCTCTCTTTTCTTCTTGCAGTCCGCCTTCCATTTCTCCAAATCAGCAGCCGCGGCCGCGTCGACTTCCTCGGCACTACGTTCCCAAGGCCTTGTGGGGAGAGGCTTCAGTGATGGCTCCGGTACCTTTGTGGTCTTAGGTACATAAGGGTCCGGGTTAATAATCCAGGACTGCTTCTGCTTCTTTGCCGGAGGTGGATTGGGGGGCGGCGTCTGATCACCCGCCGGACGAGGACTGGGGGGCGGCGGCTGATCACCCGCCGGACGTTGTGGACTGGGGGGCGGCGTCGGCTGACGTAACGGAGGTGTAGGTGAACCGCCACCACCACCACCACCACCACCACCGCCACCGCCACCACCACCACCGTAGGGGGGTGGACTTGTTGTCCTTGGCGCCTCGCCTGGAAACTTGATAAACTTCTTTTGCCATAGAATGAAATGGCGCTTGACATCTCCAAGTCTTTTCTCCCCTTCAGGTGTAGCAATGTCAATCTCCAGGTCCTCAAACCCTTGGACTATGTCCTCCACCGTGACACGAGCATAGCCATCTTGAATGGGGTTGTTGTGGTGGAGTGCTCCAGGTAAACATGGTAAAGCACTGCCGATGGCTACCTTCATGGACATGTTCCCGATAGGATAATACAGATGACATTCTTTCATCTCCTTTATATCGTCCACGGGGTAGCGAGGATGCTCCGGTGAAGTAATTTCGACCACCAGAGGCTCCGGTGCAGTAATTTGGACCACCAGAGGCTCCGGTGCAGTAATTTCGATCGTCGGTGCATCTGCACCAGCCGGTGGGGCCTCCGTGGAAGCCACGCTGCTTCTCCGCTGCTGGCTTCCGAGATCCGCTGGATGATCTTCATGCTGCACCCGAGCTGCATCTCTTTCGGCTACTAGTACACTCATGGTTTTCTTCATCACATCCATTTCCGATGCCAACCGCGCCACAACATCTTCTTCCCGATCCATCTTTCTCTTACGGCTTCTGTAACCGTACGGGTCATCGTTCTGGGGGAACCCTATTTTCCACGGAATGTGCCCCATGCCTCGTACACGTCCTCCGTGTTCAGGATTCCCGAGGGCTTTTGTCAGCGCGTCGTTCTCTCTGTTGAACTTGATCTTCCCCTGTTGAGCATCCCTCATTGCGTTAATAAGGGCTTGGGTGGGTTTAATTAATTTGCCCCGGTAAACACACTCCCCTGTCTCCGGGTTCAGCGTTCCCCCATGCCCGTACCACCAGCTTTTGGCCCTTGGGTCCCATCCCTCCGTACCTGGACGGATTCCTCGCGCCCTCAGCTTGTTCTCCATCTTCTCCCACCTAGGCTCCCAAAGGCGATACCCTCCTGGCCCCATAACATGATTGTACTCCTTCTTAGCCGCATTTTCCTTATTTTTTTCGATATTTGAATGAACTGCTCCGATTTCTTTTGCTTCACAAATTCTAGCCAATCATCTTTCAGTTTCTCATATTGTCCTTTGAAATCCGGAGTCTTGTTCTGCTTGACAAAGTCATGGGCTAGATTTTGCTTGAATTTCCGGAATGCGTCGGCCATCTTATGAAGAGCGAACTGTTTGACTAGCCTCCTCCTCTCCTTGTTTTCCTCAATCTTGTTACCCTCCTCATCGAATTTGTTGTATTTCGGAGGTAGAACGAAATGTTCCATAAGCTTCTTGAAGCAATCTTTTTTTGTTCTCTTATCGACAAAAGTGAAACCATCAATTCGTGCCTTCTTTGGCTCATTCCACTCCTGGACGGTGATCGAGACGTTGTCTCTAACAGTGGCTCCGCATTGGCTGACAAACTTGGTGGCGGTGGCGGTGGCGAAAGGGCGGTGGCGAAAGGAGGGGGCGAGGAAGGGGTGGGAGAGGGTGTCGCGGTAGAGGGGGCGAGGAAGGGGTGCTGGCCACACTCTTTTTTCTTTTCTTTTTCATTTCATTTCATTTTTTCTTTTCCTGTTTTTATCCTTTTTTTCTTTTCTTTTTCATTTCATTTTTTCTTTTTCATTTCATTTCATTTTTTCGTGTATTTCAAAAAATTGATTTTATTAGACACAAAAAAATTCTTTCTTCTTTCTTTCTTCATATTCCTTTCTTTCTTCTTTCTTTCTTCTTTCTTTTTTTCTTCCAAAACATATTCTTTCTTCTTTCTTTCTTCTTTCTTTTTTTCTTCTTCCTTTTTTTTCTTCTTTCTTTTTTTCTTCTGTTGTTTTCTTCCTTTTTCTTTTTTTCTTCCTTTTTCCTTTTTTCTTCCTTTTTCTTGTTTTTCTTCTGTTTTTCTTTTGTTTTTTTCTTCCTTCCTTCTTCTTCTTTCTTCTTCTTCTTCTTTCTTCCTGCAGGGCGGGCGGCAGGGCGGCGGG